AACCATAGTATCTCTTAACAATAATAGGTTCGTTCCAACCCAGCCAAAAACCGTTCAATGTACGGTCACGGTCATGCGCCATAGGTTAAAGGCGTTCCAACCGAGAGATGATCGTTTACCGTACAGTTTCGTTGGCGTTCCAACCAAACCTGGGATCGTTCGAGAACTGGTTTTAGCACCGTCATTTCGATCCCGAGTGGAAAGCAAGAACCGCGTGGACTGATTCATGACTGACATGCGTAATTCAATTTTTGTCACCTGTTGTTGTTGTTCATGTTGTTGTTAAACAACCAATTTCCAATCTAACTTATAAAACTGTAGCATTTTTATTTTTTCAAGTGAAAAAAAGTACAAAATTTATTATCAGCTATTTGCTAATCCTTGATGTTATCAGCTTGCAAGGATTCAGTTTCAGATTCTTGATAATGAATCAGCGTTGGTGTTCGATTTTCCTTTTTTATATATTATTTTGTAATCCTAATCCTATATTCTTCTATTTTAATTTGCAAACAAACAAATTTAGGGTTAAATTTATTTGAACTGTCGTCATTACAAAAACGATCATGAAACCGTTCCAACTACCCGTTGTTTCTGTACCAAGATAAAACCGTGCAAGGTCAACGCATGCGCCTGCAATCGATCCTAACAGTTCCGAAACCGTTTCATGACGATACGAAAACGGGGGGTTGGAACGAACCTAATGAAACACTTTCCACCTCCGCATGTTATATACTATTCAACCAATGAAATTCACTCTAACTGGTTTGTGATTTCCGTGCGAACAGACCTTTCGTCAACTTCCTAATAAATAGTAGGTATATTACATATCGAGGTGGAAAGTGTTCGAGAGATTTTAGTTAGACCGAGGCGCAGCCGAGGTCTAACTAAAATCTCGAGATAGTAATGAAACTTTTCACCGAGGTATGTATACTATTTTATTTACAATCATCCGAATTTTGTAATTTTTATTTGAATGAAAACTAAAAAAATACAATGAATTTTTCCAATTTCATTTACTTTCGGCCCACGGGAGGAAAGTAAACTTTCGACACGTGGGTGGAAATTAAAAGTCAAAAAACTGACATTTTCAAACTTTTTAAAAGTCAGAAAAGGCAACATTACTTGTATGATTGTAAATATATACTTTTTCATTCTCCAAGTACCTACTTGTTGGTACTCACTCTGAGGTACTCCACCATCATCCTTGACCAAGCATTTACCTATATGTATAAGGTGATAAAAGTTTATTTTCTGTAAGGCTTATTCTTCATAGTAGTCGTCCATCTGGTAGAAGAACCTCAACTTCTTCAAGATGATAATTGCGAAATTGATCAAACCGAGTAAAATACAAGATGTCTTGACTGAAAATTTACTAGGCAGACGTGAGATAGGTTTTCTCTTATAATTTGTTTAGTTTTATAACTTTTATGTGAAATAAAATAATTTAAACGATGTGTACTGTGCAGTTAAAAGTTATGAGGATTCCTTCGATATCGTTATTAAAATAAAAAATTGTATCCACCCTGTATAAGCGATAGCACAGCGTAAAATATTGGTAAAATCTAATCATACAGCAGAGTGGCGCAGTGGAAGCGTGCTGGGCCCATAACCCAGAGGTCCGTGGATCGAAACCACGCTCTGCTAATAACTTTTTTTTTAAATTTTATTTCCACAGAGAATATTTCAGTAATAATTATCTGTTATGATTCCATTTAATTCATTTATTTTTGACGTCTTTTTACTTTTATTCATTTTAAAATAAAAGATTTACAGAGTAGAAACCAGTTCCTTTTATAGGAGTCAGATGGCGCAAAAATCTGCAATAGTCAATAGTCATACCTACTATTGTGCGGAGCTGAAAGAAATTTAAGGAATTCTATGTAGTTAGAAGTAGGTACCATACAAGGTACGAAAAAAAAACTTGTCTTGCAGACAAAATATTAACTAAAGTGGAAAATTGAGAGGGTTCTTTATCCTAAGGAATTTGAGTCATTAGAATCAAGTATGCTTTGTAGTAGCATAATGTATTACAGATATAATAGAGAATCATTATCAAGTCGAAGAACAATTTCAAACAATCAGGCAACTTTAATTTTTTCCATGCAGAATAGTTCTTGATCCCTGTGGTCCCTAGCCACAGGTCCCTCTCTCCAGTAAAATAATAGTTACTTTAATTAAACTAGGGTGAGTATTTTACAAAAGTATGTTCTCCCCAACTAATAAAACGTCTGTTTCTGTTGTAACGGTAAAATAGCCAAATTTGAGTAAAGAAAACCAAACCAAGTAAGTCCCAAGAATGACTCTTTTTCTTTAATTGGCCACCATATTAACTTACCATTATGGAGAGCGACATAGGTACACGCAGATGACTAATTATAAAAGCCATAAAAAGAAATATATAATTAATTTCATTATACACTTGCTCTGGTTACTTGTTATATACATCCCATATACTGGAAGTTTTAATTGATTAATTTGCAATGGTGCTGACATTACTTAAATGTTACGTCTTTTTAACAGGTTGTTGTACGCCTTGTGGTGTACCTAAATGTCAAAATTAATAATTTGGGTTCATTTTTGTAAAAGGCAAGCAACTTCATTACCATCGACACCTTTAGATAAGTACATAATGTATATAGATTTCAGGCCAGATCTCTTTATCAGGGATTGTGTGAAAAGATTGGAAGCTTTATTAAGAATCACTAAAAATAGGAGCCAACAGACATACACAAAATCAGCTGAATTCAGGATGACAATGATGATATTGTCCAATATATTGTCTACATTTTTCCATATAAGCAACAATTACTTTTTATTGATTAATAATAACAATCAATGGGAAACAATGGGAATTGTCCCACCCTAAAACTAATTTTAAAAATTATGATTTATGTGCATGTTGCTATGTAGTTTCTCGACAAGCCTTCAATTAATATCTATTATCAGTACGTTACAAGTATCTATTTTAAATAATCACTGACAAAAAATGACATTTCAAGCAGCTCCATTGTTTTAAAACAGTAGGTAACTAACGTTAACAAAAGCTAAAAGGAATTTTCAATTAAAACAAAGAAATTCCTAATGCTATACGCCTAAGCAGTCATTAGATAAACACAAAAAGTTCCAAACATTATCATTACCATAAATTTAAAAAAACTATTATCTTATAGACTATAGTTTCTTTGACCTGATGTTCTGAAAACGCCTTTCACATGGAAAATATCTGGTAAACACACCACTCTCAGGAAGAGGTAAACCAGACCAAACCAATAATAAGTGTAAATTTGTTCGGTAAACCTTAATGAGATCCTGCAGACTCGGAGTACACCGAACGTTAAATTTGTTTAGTATTGTGCGTAGGTGCCACTCCCACGAGTTAATCTTTTATGGTATAATTATTGAAAGGTTGATTTGTGAAATTTATAGACGATTAGGAGCTCGTTTTCAACGGTTTTTGCTAAGAAATTATTGTGCCAGTTGAATTTATAATAATGGGTGCAGCATCGGGAACGTTTGAGATAATTTTATGAGAATAGCCTTGCAATTTTCAATTTGTTTATATTTCTAATCTATTATTGATCGATAAATTTAATTTTATTAGTTGATCTGTCATTGTGGATAAAAGTAAAGTACCTATATCTACTTTGTAGCTTTATTGAGAACAATCTGAAAAATATTGAAGACTTATAAGTTATATACAGTGAGTACGTAAAAGTTGGGATAAAATCCATAAAATATACAGGGTTGATATTTTTGAAAAAACTTCGGACACGTCGATTTTTGATTTTAGTGGCTGTTTTTTTTGATGATATTATAACATGTATACAGGGAAAGACCCATAAACAAGTTATGACATTTCATTTAGCTTAATTTTTTCAAATAAAAACACTAATTTTGTATTTAATTTCCAAATTCTACGTTAAATTCTGAACCTTTTTAAGTATCATGTCATATACATTGCCTCCTATTCCCAATGACCTATACCATACCTATCTTCAACTGTTTAGGAAATGTTGACAGTTGAAAATTGACTTTTTTCCAACTTTGACAGGTTCTAAAACAACGGTTAATTTCTCACCAAAACCAATTTTTGATTCGCATCTTCAGCTTTTCATAAGCTATATGACACCAGCTTTGAATTTAACCGGAGATATTAAATTTAACCAGTTGGTGTCAAATGATATAGTTTATGAAACACTATCAGGACAAAAATGTGACATTGGTTTTACTTTAAAATCAACCGTTCAGGTTTTACAACCTGTCAAATGTCAAAGTTGCAAAAAAGTAAATTTTCAACTGTCAATATTCCCGAAACAGTTGAAGATAGTTGTATGACATTGTACATAAAATATGTCAAGTATTTTCTGCAGAATCCAGAAATGTCATAATATACAGGGGGCACCATTTAAAAAAATAAAGTTCATAACGGTACTGTGGTTCTTGGAAAACCCTGTATACCTAATAAAATTGGTGTGAAAAAATTTCAAGCAAAAAAACAAAAACGACGTGTCTAAGCGTGTTTTCGAAAATTTCTTCATTTACTTTATATTGAATTTGCTCCATATTTTATGTTATGCCCTCTCTGTAAAACGTATAACTGAAATTCCAAAGTAATAATCTCAGGTACCTGTACTGTGTCTAAGATACCAATCTGTTTATAAGCCTCTTTAGCTCAGTGGCAGAGCACTGGTCTTGTAAACCAGGGGTCGTGAGTTCAATCCTCACAGGAGGCAAATCATTGTTACTTTTTTTAATTTTTTTTCCGTAAATAAATTTGCAATGTATTTCCTTGTTACAATTAACATTTTGAACAATTAATAAAACGTATATTTATCTGTATTCAAGTCAACTTATCTTCTGATAATATTTGATTATGAAAATAATCCTTAAATTGTTGATTTTTTTTTTTTTCAAAATTTAGACACATTTTTTCACAATTGAATCTTCAACAGTCAACAAATTCATAGAAAATCTAATATAGTTCATGCTTCTTTTTCCAGGTTTTATGCATCTATCCCAGACTCATCCAACCATGGCCAGTGGCAGGTATCGCCCTCTGGCTAGGCCTAGTTCAGGATCTCCTGATCCCCATTGGCTTGGGCATAGTGGATTCCAGATTTTGCGGATGGGTCTCCAATGTTTACAGCTGCTCGGCAAAACATACCGACGAAAAACTACCACAAGGTAAGAATTTTCAGTTAAATATAGCGCAAACACTATATTGAAAACTCAAATTCCAGTTGGCTTGGATGGAAAGTTTCGACCTTTTGGACTTTCCAGTCAACCTCAAAGCCTCGATATTCAACAGGAACGTGCTAAAACCTTGCAGCAAGTAGAACATAGATTTCCTATAACGAATGGATCGCTGTACACTAGCATTGATGGACGGTTACCTGTGATACATAATTATAGAAGACATAAGGAATTTAGAACAGGTATGACCAGCTATTTAAGGTTTTAATTTGGTTAGTTAGTTTTCAATAAATGAAAATTATTCCAGGTACGATAAAACACCAAGATCTGACCTCATCCAACGTAGCTCTACACTCGTCTCATCTCAGTAGACGCGATATGGAGTCTTCACCTCCTCACAAATACGCTAGCTGTACCAACTGTCAAATGGATCAGTGTCCTAGCCATTCGGATTTGCACCATTTGAGTCCTCAATATGTTCAAAGGAAACTAAGTTTTTTGCATGCCTCTCAAAATAACGTATTTGCTTCAAATGGAGAAAATAAACTTCAAGGTGGTGATGGTAATAATATAGATATATTAGCTAATCATCAGAATGGTCTTTTTGTAGGCAACAGGAGGTGAGTGCTAGCCAATTTTATTTTTTCAATTTTTAATCGTTTATTACCTTAAAGGTTACAAAATACCCAAAACTCCTTGACCCGTAACCAAATTCGCATAGAAACCAACAGACAGAGGAGCCACAAGAGATTGAGCCAAAGCCAAGAAAGCATCAATCATTTATACTTTGGTAATCCTGGAACTGATGCTAAAATAGGAGACAACATCTTCTATCATAGATCTGATATGAACATTTCAAGTCCTAACTTCAACTCGAACAATGACATGTTCAAAAGTTCAAGGAAACTCTTAAGGTGTGTTAAATTTTGTATCAAATATAGGCTTCTCAAGATATGAGGCAAGCGCAAAAAGTTAATTGCATTTGTTTGGATCCATCACTAAAATATACAGACTGGACCAACCTACTAGACACATAGGAAGTAGGTAATTAATAATATGCAGGGATGATCTATAATCCACCATGATGATCCTGCAGTGAAATGGGTATAAGTCAACTGTTACCATTGAAGCCTATGTGTCTAGTAGCCTAGTCCTGTCTGTATAAGTGCCTACATAATAAGATTTACTTACATGCAGTGAGTTTTTTGTTATTGCTGTAATATTGTTATCCCTGGTAGACTTAAATCCCAACCACATCCAAAATATACCAAATTTTCTTTTTTGCTCTAGGTTGAATCAAATGCGTCTCAGTCGCAGCGAAGATTCCTTAACCGACATACAACTAGAAACCCCCATTTCAATAACAGCACAACTAAGAGAACCTACTCTCGAACAGAAAGCTAACTACCATGATTCATCAGACGAAGAAGACTTCTTTCCTAATAGTGACCATCAGTTGGTCAAAGATTACGATTCTGAAAGCTCCAGCAACTCCATCACAACAGAAGCTAATTGTGATTTTGAATTTTTTCAAGCTAAAGATTCCCGCAGCAGTGACAGCAGTGATTTTGACAATCAGATTTCGTCTTATAATAACAGATCCAGCCAGAGTTCGGAGGGTAAAAGTTCCAAAGAAAAACCCAAGCATGTTTCCAACACAAAAATCACCAGATCGAATTCTAGAAGGTCTTTGGAAAATTTCCAGGCTTTTATAGAACAAACTTGTGATTTTGATAAGATGAATAATGATAGCAATGTCTCAAGAGTAGTGATTTTGCATCGATCAAATTCTTACAACACGTTGGATGATAAAAAAAAGAGGAAACGTGGTAAAAAAGTATTGAGCCGAAGCAACTCGAAAATATCAGGAAACTTGAAATTAGACAATGAAATTGATTTGAAAAGTAAAATCAATAAATCCGTGGAATATTTACCTGATTCGATAAACACTGCAGTATATTCTGAGAACTTGAAGAACAATAATAATAAGTTTGTTGGCAATAGTGTGCCTGATTTTAGGAAAGTGTTCATTTCGGAGTATATTTAGTTTTGTGTGTTTTTATTGTATTTTAAAAGTTACCTTGTTTTTACTTTTGTATAAAGATTTTATTACCGTCATACTTTGTGTATGGTGACTACTTTATTATGTTTTTCGATTTACGGAAAACTCTACTTGTATATAGTATTTTTATGTGTTTTGCAATAGATTTTAGATTTTCCTTGTTTGTGTTTCATTGAAAAACCACACCAAAATGTTAATAATTCGAATCTGCTGGATACACGTGATAAAACTGAAACCGAAATCCTGGCTGTGCGAAATTAAAACTGGAAAATCCACAAGTTGCTGAAAGAATGGTAATCTCTACTTCCAAACTCCACGCAGCTGGCCAGCTCATTCAGGAAGTTCAGGTCCGATGCGTAGGAGTGCAACGAAACCGTCTTGATTTAACTGGTCGCGAAAAACGAAAAACTGCGGGTCTATTTTCTTGAACCACACGAAGCGGGCGAAGTGTTTTTGAAAACTGGTGCTGCTTGTCGGCAGGAAGTGTCAGGACTTGCCGGTACTCTTTTCGGTGTTTAACGCGCGCATTTTTAAAAGCCAAACTTAGCAAAGCCGTATCATTCTTAGGCATAGAGCACGCGCAATACGCAATTCAATAAGAATAAGAGAAAACAAAAAATAAAGAAAAACGAATCAATTTCCATTCCCAAATAGGATTTAACATCCTAAATACCCAATTTAACCAACAAATATATACACTGGCAGAAGAAAAATCATTTTGAATTATTATATTAGGTACCTATTGCCTAAAAAGTACCATAGAAGAAGTTCTGGAAAAGTATGAAAAATCCAGGCAAAGAATCAAAGGAAAGTAAGCCCGATAAAGAATTCTGCAGTTTTGGCATAGAGAACACCATTGTCAAATGGTAGTGACGCCCTCGTCAGTCGCAAACTACAATACCTCGGGTACAGGTTTCTGGAAACAGATGGAACAAAGCATGTTTCTTAAAAGTTACGGGCTCCAAAGGTAACAAAGGGTCACATGCGCGTCTACATGCTGCCTATATAGGCTCCCCTTTTAAATCATCAATCAAGCGCGGTTATATAGAAACAAACAGGGAAAGCAAACAATTACACAACTCAACAGCATACTGTATGATATAAAACCATATTCAAAGATAAAATTTATAATAGCATTGTTACTTATGGAAGATTGGCCACTGGAAGAACAAATCCCAAAGTAACTTGAGGTCACAGAGATTGATTCTTGGAGTTCCCGGAAAATCAAAAGTGATTAGGGCCACAAATAAGAGAATCAGTGATGCCGCGAGACGAAACGAGACGAGAATAAGCTTTCTCGCGTCTTGTCTGGAGAGTTCGAGAGAAAATGAGTTTCTCGTCTCGACAAGACACCCTCGATAGGAGACGAGAGAGTTCTTCTGTCGTCTCGTCTCTCGTAAGGTTATTACGACTCCGAGGTCAGCATTTTTTTTCAAATATATAATAAGGAATCGCAGAACTCAAAATAACAGAGGAAATTTTCAGGGTCTTAAAATTGTACGACCATCCCAGATGATTGAATTTTAAAAAATTCTTAATGAGCTCTATTGTTTTTTACAAAAATTTAGGTATATTTCCATTTTTTTTTTGTGAATTTAAATGATTAACTACTATAATAATTTATTTTAATTTAATGCTGCTAAAACTCGAATCATGTAGGTATATACTAATTAATTATTCAGCCAAAAAATTAGATTTTTTACATTAGATTTAATTTGTTCCAGCATATAACCTTTGAAGTAGAATCATTTTTTTTTGGCTGATGAATGATTCAGTGCCCAGTAGTTTGCTTAGGAATTTCACTGTTCCTAGACGGTGTGAACTAATTAATAATAATGAAACAAAGCAATTTTGCTTATATGATAGGACGACTTAAGACGAAGCAGCAGGTACAGGTTGGCACATACATTTTTTGGTTATGTTTCATGTATTTATGCCTGGTTTCAATTTAAATCCCTTATTATGGGCAAATAGAGCGTTGTTGCTGAAAGGATTCTATTGGAAACGTAAGATGTTTGTTGTTGGATGTTTCAATGGATGGGATTTTTTTGGTGGGATACAGTTAAGACTGCGTATTATTTGATAAACATTACGAACAGTTGTCTCAGTAGAATTATAGTTTGGAGAGAAGCCTCGAACTAGGAAATCTGAGGATTTTTGAATATTGCATATCTTTCTCCATCAAAAGAGCTGAAAAATCACAAACTCAACAGTCAAGTGAAAGAATGTTACAGGATGACCTACTGCTCTAACAGATAGGTATACAGACTATCATATGGAAAAAAGAAAATCCATTTGGGAAAGAGGTAGGTTTGGAATTGAATCTGATCTAGGACACACTCAGAGTTCGGAATTAATCAAGAATATCAGGATGATTCTGAAGGAATTGAAGATATAGAAGAGATCTGGAGAAAAACACAATTAAAATATTTGGAAGAATATGAAGCCATTTTGCAATAGAAGCAGAATCAATGATAATGGTTTTAAAAATGGATGGAAGCTGTTCAATGATTCACTCAGATAGTTTCTTTCAATGAATTTTAAAAGTGAAGCAGGTACTTATGTAGATAGAGATTTGAATCCATACCAAGCTTTAGGCTTGATGGTCAGAGGATTTCTTCAGAGAAAAGGTCTAGATTACACTGGGACATGTGCACCAGTTGCTCGTTTGATAACGATTGTCTACATTTTTGAACCTTGTAAAATGAAGAGAACTTGGTTTCTCATCAGATGTATGTCAAGAATACAGTACAGTGCAAATACGGTTTGAAATTGAACAAATTAACATCAAGATAAGGCTAGCGGCAATCAGTAGTAAATTGAGCTTTAAACGACATACTGAAAATCCCCATTATGTCCGGATATTGTAATATGCATCTGATGTCGGAGAACTCAAAACAAAACTTACGTAAAATACTATTCTCTACAAAATTGCTCATATACATTTTTTTCATATGAGTAACCGTTTTCGAGATATACCGTGATAAAGCGGGAGGGAGCATTCAAAATAGGCAATAATGTAATATACTGCGGAGCTATAGCTATAAATGCATTTTTCCTAATCTGTTAGTCTGGAAAATAAAATTGTTAGAAATTTGTTTGTTTATAATAATAGTTATTTTTTTATCAAGGGAATTATTAGGGTGTTAATACCCCAGGGCAAAGTTAGGACCGTGGGTATTTACACCTGATAATTCCCGTGGTAGGTACATATTATAGATAATTTTATTTCCTACTGAATTTAATACTGTATTTTATCTATTTTTATGAGGGAATGAACCATAAACCAAAATTTCTAAATATTTTTTCTCAAAGTTTTACCTATCCAAGGTAAAAGTGGGAGTTATGGAATCCTTAACTCCCGCGCGGGAGGTAAGACCTTGTGTATGATTATCGTAACCAAGATATTAGGTATATGGTTATAATAGTTCAGTAGGATGTAAAATATATAAAATAAATAATTAATAACATAACATGCATAACCAAAAATACATTCTTTTCCGCACCACTTTTGAAGTAGAATGCAAGGCAGGTGTGCGCCAATTTAGACAGGTAAACTATCAAATAACACACCCAGTAGTGGGTTATGGTTTATAACTCTCTCTTATAACAACAACGCAAAACGTCAGGAAATTAAAATTTATAAATCTTGCTTCGAAGAAGACTCATTTCCAAAAAATACCTGTAAGCTTTTAGGTTCTTGTATGCTATTCGTATGTCATGAATTTCCAGTTGTTGGATAAAACATTGTATGCCACTCGTCGTGTGTTAAGTCACTTGAGAAATTATACCACTCGGCCTGTCGGCCTCGTGGTATAATTTTAACATTGGTTGCAAGGATTGCGAAATCTGTGAATTTTTTCTCATGTGACTTATTTTCACCGTAACACAATAGTTATTTATGGTACTAGATAAATAATTATTCCTAAGATCGGCGAGGTGGAAACAAATTAGGAAAAATGCATTTATAGTTATAGCTCTACAGTATAATACAATATTACCTATTTTGAAATGCTCGCTCCCGTTTTATCACGCTATATCTCGACAACGGTTAGTCATACGAAAAAAATGTATATTAGAAATTTTTTAGAGAATACTATTTTACGTAAGTTTTGTTTTGGGTTTTCCGACGTCAGATGCACTGGAAGCGAGATTTTTACGAAAAACGGATTTTCGTGACTTTTGACCTAATTTTTTTCTGATTTTGCAACATCCGGACATATGGGGATTTTTAATATGTTGTTAAGAACCTCAAATACTAACAAATTACGGTATAAAGATCTTGATGTTAATTTGTTCAATTTCAACATGGCAAAATGATTATGCACTAAACATATTAGGTATATATTCAACGAAAGTCGTTAGATGTGAAATGTCATAATCAAAATCAGATCAGTATAACAAGTCTAAAAAAATCACATTCAATTCATTTCTGCCTCAACCATACAGAGCAGATCGTGAATAACGCTGCTCACCTCAGTTGAATTGTTAAATTCTATACTCTACTGTTGTCCTAATAAACATTTGTAATGCGAATAGTGAATATTGTAATCTAGTTAATAAATAGAAAGGAAAACACAAACACTGTATCTTTAATGTGATTTTCATTTTACACTCTACTTATGCACATTGTGCCTTCCAACTTTGACACGTTAGGGTCTGACGATGCCTTAATAAGGCGAAACACGTGTAACCCTTACTGATTATATTCGAGACTTTGACTTGTTTTGTTTTCTTTTCTATTACATTCAAGTCTCTTAGAGAACCAGGGACTATTTCTTCATAGTTAATAAATGTTTTTCTAAAAAAATCGTCAAACCTCAAAAACTAATATTTGTCTGTTTGGGTACCGTGAAAAAGTGTAAAAAAAAAACCGACGTGACGTATAAAGCAATGGCAAATTACCTTTTTGTTAAATTCCGAAGGCCTAAGTAAACATGCCTTGCAAATTTATGTACATACATTTGCAACTTTATATAAAAATCAAATTACAAAAAAAATCAGCTTAGTTTTCATTAGGTTTATTAGGCATGCTTTTTGACTCTATCTAAAAATTTGATATATTGTTGTGCCATTTGGAAAGTGTAATAATTACAAAAGATATAGGCACCTGTTAACTGAAAAAAAAAGGTAAGATGCAAAATAGTTTTATACGGTACGATAGAGACGTTAGGAAAAGGAGCTGAATGATTCACAGGCCCATCATCTCCTCCCACTTCTTTCTCCTGTGTGATTTTTTTTTTCGGTTCAATAATTAGGTATTACTAGTCCTATCAGCCCTAAATATTTCCTTACTAGTCCTATCAGCCCTAAATATTCCCTTACTTCTTCTATTTTTGTTTGTGATATACTGTGTTTTTCCGGTTGAATTAAATAATATTTCTGTTCTTCAATAGTTATGATTTGCTCCTTACCTTCTATGATTTTTAAGAATGTCAGGAATCATTAAAATAACTAACCATTGTCACTATTTCGGTTTATTAAAATTTTGCCGCTATTAATGCCTCCAGCATTTGACCACCGGCACCCATTCGTTGAGAGATTGAGATGTCGTCTTCTTCTTTAGGTTATTCTGATATTTCCCTAATAGAAGTAGAAAGATTGTTTGATTAATATTGTAACTCATTCGTATCAAGAAAATTTAAATGGCTAGTACCTAGTAATATAAATACATTCGTTACATGATTTAATTAGAAACAAACATATGGAAGCGAAAGATCCCAGAAAGCAATGTTTAGGGATGGAACTTCTTAGGGATAAATTGTGAGGGTAGAATGTTTGAAGCAAACCTTCCGGATCCCAGTATTCCTCGATTCTTGCAGGATAGTTATTTAAATATTAGATAGGCAATTATCTATTGAAATACCCATCCATAATACAACACCATTAGTATTTCTTTCAGTTTTCCCAACCTAACTACATTTTAAGTAGGTAACTATATAGCGAAAACCACATTCACATAAGCATGACCTGTTGAATTCATTTTCTGCTATTGAATTTTTGACATTAAAGAGTGTAACAAAAATAAATCAGGACAGGAGTAGTCACAAAACAGGTCAACAGGATCAAGTGAATTCCTATGTTGGTTTATTGTCTCGATATGCTGGATTGAATGTTTTATTAAACAATGTTGGAAAAGAGGAAATAAAAATATTGAACAGTGGCATTGTCACACTCTAATTCGATTTTATTCAAAATCTTTCTTAGGACTATAATGTAAAGTCATTCCAAAGATTCCAAATATAAACACTGTGTTAATCAGTCGAAAGTTGTATTGGAATTCAGTTGGATCCGCAGCGAAAACTGGGTTTGTCATGATTTTGAGTCTCCAATGACTATAAAGTTGTAAATAATTTCTTTGAATTATATTATTTCGTACTTCAATTGACCACAATACATAGGTATAAAATACTTCAACTAATACCTACTTATTTTTCCTTTACAGTTATGGGACTTCAGGATGATGAAATAGTAATAACAGGAATCGCTGGCCGATACCCCGAATGCGACACTTTCGAAGAGTTCAAAAAAGCACTTTTCGATGGAGTTGATTTAATTACAGAAGATTCTAGACGATTTGAACCAGGTTCGAATTTTTCAAATTAAATTTTGTAAATACTGTTTATTCTATTTAAATATTGCAGGAACATACGATGTACCAGTACGTGCTGGAAAAATCAATAACATCGAATATTTCGATGCTCAGTATTTCGGAATACATCCTCGACAAGCTAGAGTCATAGATCCTCGCCACAGAATAATGTTTGAGACGGCTTATGAGGCTATCGTGGATGCTGGATATAACCCAAAGGAACTTAGTGGAACAGAAACAGGTAAAAGCCTATTAGGCCTAATGTTAATGATTGAAGGATGTGATTCATGCACTTAAAAATTATTCGTTTGGGTTGGATTTAAAGTAAATTGATAACTGTCCAGTATGAAAACTCAAGCTTACAAATTTCTAGGTGTCTACATCGGAATCGGTGCATTTGACAGTCTTGAATCCTACAAAGAACTAGAAAACACTAACGGCTACTGTAACATTGGCTGCTCTCTAGGACAAATTGCCAATAGAACGTCGTACTGTTTTGATCTTAAAGGACCAAGTTTTGTATTGGATACTGCCTGTGCTTCAGGCTTATATGCATTGGCTAATGCATTCAAAGCTATGGAGAGAGGAGATATTGATGGTGCTATTGTATCTGGTAAGAATTTATACAGAATATTTAATACTTAGTTCCTAACAGCATATTTACAGCTGTAAACATAAATTTGCATCCATATGAAAGCAAAGAGTTCAACCAACTAAACATGTTATCGCCAGAAGGTAAATGTAAAGTATTTGCTACCGATAGAGATGGATATGCTAGATCAGAAGCCATTGTAACTGTACTATTGCAAAGAAAATCAAAATGTAGACGAATGTACTCAACAGTTTTAGGTAAGATTATTATAAAATCTACACCTCGAAAATTCTTGAATCGTATTTTCAGGAGCCGATACGAATTGTGACGGTTGGAAATTGGAAGGTATTACTTTTCCATCTTCAGCGGCGCAGTTAAAACTCATACGTAAGATTTACGAGGAAAAAAAGCTTAATCCAAATGATGTAAAATATATTGAAATGCACGGGACTGGAACGCCAGCTGGTGACACCGTTGAATGTCAACCTATTTTGGATTTCTTTTGCAAAGATCGAAATGTAAGTGGTTACATCATTTTCTTTTGTATTTGTAAGCTTTTAAAAGCAAAAACACAATAATTATTCTATTATTAGGAACCTCTTCCTATTGGCGCAGTCAAGACTAACATGGGTCATTCAGAAATTTCTGCTGGACTTTGTTCTCTATCAAAAGTATTAATTGCCATGGAAGCTGACCTTATACCTGCCAATTTACATTGTGAAAATATTGACTATACTCTACCTGGTATTGATAGTGGTAAAATGAAGGTGAATCGTAATATCTTATTTTTTATTGTTATTAGATAACGTCTTTCGTACAGGTTGTTACTAAAAATCTTCCATGGGATGGCGGAATGGTTTCTCTGAATTGTTTCGGATTTGGCGGTGCCAACGCCCACGTTGTTCTCAAATCAAATGAAAAGAAAAGGTTGAAACCTAAAAGGTTGAGTCATAGATTGGTGAATGTTTCAGGAAGGACTGAAGAAAGCGTAAAGTACCTTCTGGAACAAGCACAAGCACATCAAGATGATCAAGAATTTTTAGCTTTGATCGATGAAATTCATAAAATTGATGTCGAGGGACATCCGTACAGAGGGTAGGTGACTGAAACCTTTAAACAGATAAAAATATATCCCCAACTTCCATCCATAGGTATAGCATCTTGGGTGATAATCCAACAACCGAAATTAAACAATTCAGCAAACAAAAAAGACCAGTTTGGTTTGTATACAGTGGCATGGGAAGCCAATGGACCGGCATGGCTAAAGACCTAATGAAAATTGACGTCTATAGAAATACCATCAAAAGATGCGCTGCTGCTTTGAAACCATACAACGTAGATTTGGAACATATCATGACCAGTGACGATCCAACAATTTTCGATGACATTTCCAATTGCTTTTCGGCTATTGCTGCTTCTGAAATTGCTTTGACTGATGTAGTTAGAGCTTTTGGTATTGAGCCTGATGGTTTCGTAGGACATTCACTAGGTGAAGTTGGTAAGCAAGACATTTGATAATGTCGCTAGTTGTTATAGTTTTTTTTTTGAGGTTGTGCATACTGTAATGGTGAATTAACGCCTGAACAAGCTATGCTTATTGGGTTTGCCAGAGGCTATGCAACCAAACTTTCCAAAGGACCTTCTGGTCAAATGGCAGCTGTTGGTTTAAGCAAAGAAGAAATTAAAAAATATCTTATAGATGGTGTTAGTATTGCTTGCATCAATGGAAGCAGTAGCGTAACAATAACCGGTCTAAAAGATGCTGTAAATCAAGTAGTGGCTTCATTGATCGAAAAAGGAATATTTGCTAGATTAGTAGCAACTGCTGGCTACGCCTTTCATTCACAATACATCGACGATTCCGCTCCGCATTTGCAAGAGTTTGTTGCCAAAATTATAACCGATCCAAAACCGAGATCCAGTAAATGGATTTCGAGTTCTCGTCCAGAAAGCGAATGGAATGATCCGTTGGTGCAGCTTAATTGTGCAGAATATCACCGCAATAACTATAGAAATCCAGTATTGTTTGATCAAGTACTAAAATATATACCTAAAGATGCGATTGTTATTGAGATAGCACCGCATGGGTTGTTGACTGCTATTTTGAAAAGGGAGATGGGACCTGATGTTACGTGTTTGAGTTTGGCTAATAAGAATAGTAAAGATAATTTGCAGTTTTTGTTGTCAAACATTGGAAAGTAAGTAAATATAATATAATTTACTTATACAATTTTTTTTTTAATGTTCCGTGATACATGATACTTATACAGAGAGGACCAGACTACTAGACACATAGGCTTCAATGGGGCCAGTTGAATCATAGGCGCCGGAACCATGGGGGCAATAGGGGCTTGAGCCCCCGTAGTGAAATTGCTATGGGGGCGGAGCCCCCATAGTGATTTTGGCATTGTATGTAGTGGGTGTAGTGAGTAGGTACAAAAATATTGAGTTCCTGATCCTAACATTTCTAACTATTTATTTTTATATCAAACTTGTGTGTTTTATATTTTTGTTGTTTTTGCTATACCCAATTTGACAAACAGTTTGAATATTTTTTTGTCTAGTATAGTAAAGTAAATTTTAGAGGCCTTAATACAAAAAGTTTAGATGACAAATACCCATTACCCAACATAACGAATCTCTTGAAGAAGCTGGGACGCGTCCAGTATTTCACCACCTTAGATTTAGCTAGCGGCTTCCACCAGATCCAGATACATGAAAACGACATCGAAAAAACCGCATTCAGCACCAAAAACGGGCATTATGAGTTCTTGCGCATGCCTTTTGGTTTGAAGAACGCGCCGGCTACATTCCAAAGAGTTATGGATGATATTCTATATTCCAATATATTGAGCAATTTTAACAGCGAAAGATGGAACATCCCATCAATAATAGTTATTTATTATAAGTACAAGGGAAAAAAAGTATTAGATTTTAGAGCGAGATGTGGGTTGCCTCCTGTCGCGAAGCGGAGGGAGACAACAACAAGGTGGCCAAAGAGCGCTGGGAATGCTGGAGGTGGAACAGGGGAAATCATTATCTTTCGTTCTCTATTCAACCTTAGAGTTTTTCTAGACATTTCATTCTATTGCATTAAAATTGGCCTGTGTAGACCTCTCAAACTTGGGTAGTTCATTTTTTAGCCATGCCATTAGCTTATTTATGTTTGTTTCGTGCCATAAGTTGAGTTTTTTTCAATTTGTTTTGAATGAAAGCGAGGCATCATAGCGAGGGAGTGTGTTGAATTCAGTCCATAAAAGTAACGTTCTACTATGAATTTTCATCAAAATTTCTTGAAATAGCTGCCATGCCGCTTGCCCTCATTATTAGCAGCGCTTGCGGCGAAGTTGCCACTGCTGTAAGAATCACTTCTTACAAATTTGCCCCTCCCCACCAAGACCGAATCCTGACTACGCCAATGGTGCTGTCGAAGCCGAATACAGCCGAGTTGCCGAAGATGTACGAATTTCAATAATATGAAGGAACCTGCGGGGACGATCAATGATCCAGCGTGGTGATCCTGCAGTGGGTATCGGTCAATTGGTCTTATTTAAGTCTATGTGCCTAGTAGCTTAGTCCTGTCTGTCTAATTATTTCTACTTAAATTAATTGTTGGAGCCCAAGCCCCCATAGTAATTTTGAAATTCCGGCGCCTATGAGTTGACTGGTAACCATTTCACTGCAGAATCGTTGCGTCCCTGCATGTATAAAAATGTAGCATCGCCTCGATTTGCCTAAACCGGGTACAAACTAATTCGTCTTATTACTTTCTATGTGTCTAGTAGCTTGGTTCGGCCTGTATATTCGTTACAGTTGCTGTTATTTTCAATACATAAGCATATAAAAATGTGTAAAATAATGCGATCATGAAGTATTCCAAATCGGACTTGTTTATTTCTAGATTGTTTGTCAATGGAGGTCAGCCTAACTTAAGAACATTTTACAACGAAGTAAGTTTTCCTGTTGGAAGAGGCACTACAAATATTGGTTCGTTAGTAAAATGGGATCACAGCGTCAAATGGTACTATTTTCCTCAATATCTCTTCAAAAGTTAACCAACAATAATGTTTTTTAGGTTCACTCCATTTTATGAACCAAACAAAGGTTTCGGAAAGAAGGTTACTGTGAATACTGATATGGAGATATATAGTTATTTGAAAGGCCACAATATAGACGGAAGGGTTCTGATGCCTGCCAGCGGCTACTTGGTAATAAGATTCACCTTTAATTCTCAATAAACTTATTGAAATATTTTAAGGAACTCGTCTGGAAAGTAACCGCAGAAGCCAATTCGAAAACCGTTCAAACTTACCCAATAGTATTTGAATCTTTGAAATTTTTGCGAGCCACCGTACTACCTGAAGGCGAAGACGTAGTCTTTTACATAAACATAATGAAACAATCTGGATATTTTGAAATATTCGAAGGTGGATCAGTCTGTTGTTCCGGAACTATAAAGTCAACTAAAGTTATTTCTGATGAGTTTATAAATCCTGATAAACCAAAAATTGACGTAAACGGCTATAACCCATTGCGCAAACAAGACGTTTATAAATGGTTCAATTTGAAGAGGTATAAATATTCTGGAATATTCCAGGGAATTGAATCGGTAGACGTTGGAGGAACTGTAGGAAAAATAAAATGGCATAATAGTTTTACTAGCTTCCTGGATACAATGATTCAAATATCTCTTGTAACAGAATACTCGTATGATCTTTATTTGCCTACACGTTTACAGAAATTAGTTATTGATCCAGTGAGGCATTTCAAAGAAATAACTTCAAATAATGGTTCGTTAACTAATCAAATAATGGACAAATTTATGAAGTAATAATTTTCAGATTTGGAATTGTTTTATGACAAAGACATAAAATTAATAAAGTCAGGAGGAATCGAATTGACCAATCTGGAAGTATTCGCAGCGCCAAAAAGACAAAACATCCAAGCCGATCCCGTCTTAGAAAGTCAAACTTTTGTTCCTTACATAACTAGAAATTCCCCAGAGCCAATAAATTTACCATTAATATTAAGAATAGCTATTCAAATAGCTGTTGAAAATAATGGATTGATCAAGAATCTACAAGCCTATGAAGTAGTTTCTAATAAGGAGAATTCTTTAGTCAAAGACCTGGAAGAAATCAGTAAAACTGATCCAATGATAAATTTAACCTTTGTGGATGGAGAATCAAAAAAATTCGACTTGATTTTATATTCCGATGGTCAATTAGATCAAACAGCTCTCAGTATGTTAAATGCAGATGGGTTTGTATTATTTCATGGTTTGGGCAAGGACGCTGAAGCTATAGGACTTCCTGTTGTATATGAAAATTCTCATAAAGAAAAAGGTAATTATTCTGCTAAATTGTAACTATTGTTTATTATAAATGCTGCGCATGCTTTAAATAGTAGATCAATGAATAATGTATACATCTGATACTTCTGTCATGAAATCATTTCTCCTACTTCGACGATTTTCACAGTTGGAATTGGAATTCCCTCTGTCCACCCTTGAGATGCCACAGGCAAATCTCTTGAATCATTCATTGTTGACAGGTTCTTACCTGGTTTTGTGGAAGTTCAGCTTTTTGTATATTTAAAAGTGGGCCAAGAGAAAAGGTCACAAATTACAGGGCTTTTAGCACGCAGTCTGATAAGTTGCTGAATTGTCTCATTACCAGGAAACTTATCTGGGACTGTAGGTACCTTCTAAATCCGGAAAAGAATGGATTTACAGTGCATTGGTCGACATCAACAAATTTGGTTTTGTATCCTTTGACAGGGTTAACCATATCGCCTAGACATTGGGAAGATTGGTTGTTTTGGGGTGAGAGGTCGAATTCTGAGTTTATTTGCTGACTTTCTTATTGGGAGAACTCAGGCAGTTGGGTAGGGCGGTGTTCTTGTGTCTTTGATGTTCCGTTTAGCGTACCCCAAGGGTCTTACTGTGGGCCAATGCTGTTCAATCTGTTCATATCCGATGTGGGTAGTTCCATTGCGCAGCGCTTATGTACCTCAATGTTGCCAAATGTAATGCGATCACTTTTTCCAGGTTAGCCCAAATGGTGAAATTCCCTTAACAAATAATAACACATCAACAAGGGAAGTAACAAGTATTCGAGATTTGGGAGTGGAATTTGACTCCAGAATGTCATTTAATGGCCATATTACCAATACTGTGTCAAGGGCTGTTAGATGTTTGGGCTTTATACGTAGTTTCCTACTGCTGATATGTCTAGGAGTAGATTGCGAACATTGTACTGTGCGATCCATGTTGGAATACTTATCGGTGGTTTGGTCACTCTAATCTGCTGTTCACATTGCAGCTCTGGAAAGGGTTCGAAATAGATTTCTAAGTGTGGCTGCTTACAGATTGGGCTTGGCTCATGATGAGTATACTTATGACGTGAAGAGAAGCTTCTTGGGTGTTTATACCTCCCAAAGTATGAGACTTCAGGTAGATCTTTCTTTCCTTTACAAACTTTTAAGAGGGTTAATTGACTGCTCAGATCTTTTCGGTCTCATTTCTTTGAGACCACGAGAAAAGAGGCTACCAAATTCAATTATGGTATGAATGAGTCGATTTCAAGGGTGCATATGTTTGCCAACTCAAGGATCCGGAGTATTGATATATTGTTGTTGCCTTTAGAAGGAGATTGCTACCACATCTCTTTCTGTTTTGAGTGCGATTCAGGATACATTCCGTTTTAGATATCAAAGTATATATTGTGGTATTAGGAGTAAAATTGATACTTTTGTGACGACTCTTTACATTGGCCTGTCAAACAAAATTACCCATATATGACATATTGTTTCAGGTATTTACTTACTGCGAAACATCACCTCTCCAAATTCACACACCATTATCGAAGTAACCAACGTGAACTTTGACTGGATGGAAAAAGTGAAAACCGCAATTCAAAAAAATCAAATAGTCTACGTAACAAACTCCATGGATCGTACCAGCGGAGTTTTGGGTTTAGTGAAGTGTCTTAACCTGGAACCCACGGAAAAAGCACGTGTAAAATGTATTTTAATCAACGACGACAGTTTATTCCCAGATTGTAGCAAACAATTATCGTACCAATTGAGCACCAACGTGTTACAAAATTGTGTTTGGGGTAGTTTCAGGCACCTTCCAGTAAATCCTGTTAGTACAATCGATGTTTCTAGTGCTAGCAATATGGTACAAACTATTGGCGATTTGTCTTCACTCAAGTGGATTGAGAGATCAATTGAGAATAACAAGTGAGAATAATTTTAAGTTGTATATGGCTAAAACTCTATATGATTTATCTTTAGACCTTTCATAGAATCGGAATACGTTTACGTTAACTACGCAGCTTTAAACTTCAAAGACATCATGGAAGCAACTGGAAAACTTCACATTAAAAACAAGTCAGATCCTTCCTGCCTCGACATCCAGTCAGGCTTTGAATATTCTGGTATAACAGAATCTAAGAGGCGAGTTATGGGCATGGGATCTTGCGCCGTAAGTCTACAACTTTGGAATGATCCACTATTTACTTGGGAAGTTCCAAAGACTTGGAATTTGGAACAAGCAGCCACTGTACCAGTGGTTTATGCTACGGTTTGTATTTTGCCCATGAAATGCGTATTACTTATAGGTACCAACATTTTAGTGCTATTATGGTTTGATTATGAGAGGCCAATTGCAAAAACGAGAATCAATTTTGATTCATGCTGGTGCAGGAGGTATTGGTATTGCCGCTATTTCAATAGCCCTAAGTTTGGATTGCGAAATTTTCACTACTGTAGGATCACAAGAAAAACGAGACTTTTTGCTTAAAATGTTTCCCAAATTGAAACCTCAAAATATTGGTAGTAATTTAGCCAATACATTTTTCTTTCACTTATTTAATAACAATTTTTAGGTAATTCAAGAAATGCATCCTTTGAGCAGATGGTTTTGAGAAATACCAAAGGTGCTGGGGTAGATATGGTCCTCAACTCCTTATCCTCGGAATTATTCCAAGCCTCAATTCGCTGTATTGCCCAGAGAGGTCGATTTATGGAAATAGGAAAAGTTGACTTATGGGCTGGTACTCCAGTTAGCGCTAGCCTGTTTGCAAAAAATGCCAGTTTTCATGGTGTTTTGCTCGACGATTTCTTTAATGTCAATACTAGACATCCTATTAAGCAAGAGATACATAGATTAATGTCTGAAGGTAAAAGTTCGAAAACATAAATTGTGTACCTTTTAATAATTTATTCATACATCTAGGTATTACCAAAGGTGATGTCCAACCCTTGCCAGCTACAGTATTCTTGGAAGATCGTATCGAAGACGCCTATCGTTTTCTAGCAACTGGAAAACATAAAGGCAAAGTTCTTATAAAAATCAGAGATGAAACGTCTTTTGAATCGCTCCAGAGAACCATCAAAGCTTTACCAAAAATATATTTTGATCCAAAAAAAGTATACATCGTAGTGGGGGGTCTAGGAGGCTTTGGCTTAGAGCTCACCAACTTTTTAATCAAACGTTACGCCAGAAAAATTGTACTCAACTCCAGACGAGGTATAACTAATGGATATCAATCATTGTGTATGAAGAAGTGGAGTGAATTTCCAGAAGTAAATGTTAAAGTTAATACTGATGATAGTTCCACATTGGAAGGTGCCAAAAAGTTGGTAAAGTTTTCTGAACAAATGGGACCTGTCGGAGGTAGGAGAATGTATTTGTGATTCAAATATTGTAATAAATATTTCAGGCATATTCAATATGGCAATGATATTATCCGATGCACTATTCGTAAACCAAACTGTTGAAAAATATAAGACAGTATTTAATTCGAAAATCTATTCTGGATTAAACTTGGATAAAATAACCAGAGCACAGTGTCCGAAACTGGACCATTTCGTAGTATTCAGCTCCCTAGCATGCGGCAGAGGCAATCCAGGTCAATCAAATTACGGCATGGCCAACTCGGCATTGGAAAGATTATGCGAAAAAAGACGTCAAGACGGGTTGCCTGCTTTAGCGGTACAATATGGCCCTGTGGGCGATGTAGGAGCCGTTGCTGAGAATTCCAAATATGACAAGGTAAGAAACACTATATTAATTATATTATATCCAATTACTATGAAATATTTTTAGACTATTAACGTTTTTGGTCTAGTTTCCCAAACAATTACTTCTTGTATTAATGCTTTGGAAACATTTATGCTTCAACCTTATATAGTTGGATCAACATTTGTTATGGATGAAGAAAATTTGGCAACATCTGAAACTCGCAAAACACCTGTTGACATAATAGCAAATATTTTAGGAATAAAAGATATAAGTAAGAGGTCCATACCTAATCTATTATATTTGGTTAACTAAACACTTATTGTAGGTTTAATATCCAACAAAGACCAATGTTTAGGCGAAATGGGATTGGATTCACTTATGACAGCTGAAATTAAGCAAACACTTTACAGAAATTACAATATTGAAATAGCTGCTGAAGATATTAGGAATATGACTTTCAATAAAATTTCACAAATGTTTGAAAAATCAGGATCTAGCACAACGACTGACAGTTCAAATGTTCATGAAAATGGCCATCCTTATGTATTATTTAATGCGATGCTTTCCAAAAATATTATCAACGAAGTTATTAATGACAAAACGTATTCAAATAAAATTTTCTTTATACCTCCCATTGAGGGCAACACTGAAATAATGATACCATTAGCCCATACTTTGAAAGCCAATATTTATGCCTTACAGTTCACCAAAGACTTGAATTTTGACAATATGCAAGATTATGCAAACACATTTATTCAAACCATTAAAAACGTACAGAGCAATGGACCATATGTGCTTTGTGGATACTCTTATGGAGGGGCTTTAGGGTTTGAGATAGCTACACAGCTAGAAAAATTAGGTGATAAAGTGAAACTGTTCCTGATCGATGGCACACCCAGTTTTGTTAAACGAATTTTGGAGGAAAAGTTTAATCAACAAGGGAAATTACAAGCCAATGTGAAAGTTAACGTGCTCAAGTCGTTTTTGGAGTTGCTTGATGAATTGGACAATAAAAAGGTACTAAATGTATGTTATGAAAAAATGGCATTCAAATTATATGATTTTCTAGATAAACTCTCTATTTGATGGTTGTGTGGACTACGAAGAACAACTTATCAAACTGGGAAGTTTTGTAGCTGAGAATACTAGTTACAATTCTGAAGATGCCAGTGTTGCTGCAGACAGGTATGTAGCTTTAAATAATTTATTAACTAGGACCAGAGGAGAAGGGTTCTATTCCCAAGAAGGGGAACACGAAAAATTTAATGGAGAAAAGAAACAGCAGGAGAAAGAACTTTCAAATTCAGCCTTTGTACTTGAATCGAATTTTCCTCAGTTTCCCAAGATTTTGAGAATAATTATTGTCTGGTCCTCTGTATTGAAAACATTTTTTTATAGGTATTTCAAAAGGGTAGTTGCAGGATTCTTTTACCACCCAACAAGCACATTTAAGGGAGATGCCACCCTAATAAGATCCGATGATGTTTTTAAAGAATTGCCAAATGATTACGATTTGCAAAAAGTGAGTAACCATCAAAAGCCTATAGGTTTCAATATTATTGTATTTTTTTTTTAGATTTGTGAACAACCAATCGACCTCACTTCATTGAAAGGTAATCATCGAGAGGTTTTACTTGGAAACAACTTACAGAGGATATCAGAAATTATTAATAATAAGTTATAAAATTTTTGTCCGTTTATGTCGCCTATAATACGTTTTATCAAAATTTGTGAGTTTTATTTTGTGTCCTACCAATGCCTCAACAGAGAGTGTACAAAAATAAAAACAGAAATATATTTATAAAAAAATCTTTACTAAACATAAAATACAAAACTATCAAAATAAATAAAAACATCAATAAAATAAGAAAATACTTTTGAAAAATATAAAAATTACTACTTCACAAAAGTAGAAACACAAAAATTAGTCAATAAGTATCAAAATTTATTTCAACTTCCATCAAGTAATTTGAATAAAAATCCTAAATAAACAAACATTCGATATTATTCGAGATTTGAATACTTATTACAAAATAGGTAGTACTACCTAAAATATACCTACAGCCTTAAATTCTATCTGGATACTACTTGTATACATGGGCCTTTACGATTGGTGTGAACTTGCTATAGTGTTGTTATTCATAAATGAAAAACTGTGACAGCAAGTTCAATGCTCCTGCTAAAATAATTAACATATGCCAAGATGCTTTAGTTATGGTGAGTTTACCATCTTTTCTCAAACTGGCTATTTTCAGTAAGTTGGGTAGCATGAATATGTAGATCATTCCGCTCAAAGCTCCAGTATATCTGAGAAAAAAATAAATAATGCATTGGTTGAAATATCTCAGGTTAAAATAACTACCTTATTAGTGTTCCAATTTTTGGCAAAAAGCAAGCAAACAGAACGCATATAACCAAAACACAGGCGTTCAATACCATCACTTTACCATAAGTAAAATCGCCAAATCTATAATTCCTGAATATCTCATTTATGTTGCTCAATATATCTTTTCTCAACATGAAGGAGATTAATGGAAACACTGTAAAAAGCTGAAACATTAGCAATATTCTGGCTATGATAGTCATGGTGTCGTTTTTGCTAAAGTTGTTGAAAATATTCTAAAAAAAATAAAATTAAACTCAATAAATAGGGTAATGAAAACAAACTTAATATAACTTACATCTTCAATACATGATTTGGCCAAAGGAAAAGAAATATAAAACAAAATACCAATAAATAGATAAGTAAAAGTAATCAGTCCAAATGCAATGCTCAAATCCCGACCCTAAAAATTCTAATTATTAAAACTTGCTCTATTAATCAATAATTGCTTACATTATTTTCTTGGTGTTTGTTATTTCGCATAACAGAAATGATAATATTATGTATGAAGTAACTTAGAGACAACATTCCACTTAGAGCAGAAAAAGATGTTTTAAGGTAAATTTCTGAAGACCAATCGGGCATGTTGATTCCCCATCCATAAGCTTTCACAGCCACAAATATGAGTAAGTATAATACGCTAAAAGTACCTTTAAAAAAACCATTATATTATGTTTTTCAAATTTGATTTCAAATCTTACCTAGACTATTAAATTTAGTAAAAAACGTTGGAGACTTAAAATTCAAGACACCAAACATTATCACAGCTAGAAATATAGGAACAGTACTGTACAAGTCCCATATTTTTCCGAATACAGAGTTGTGGAGATGTGCAGAATACATTCTGGTACTGTTAGACATTGACGCATCGAGTAACATTTCTTTTGGACACAACACGGTTGCGTTGGATTCGAGAGAATCATATGGATGTGTAATAAGACCTAGAGGCAAACATTGTTAGTTTATTAATAAAAGTTTCTTCACAATAATACTTACCATAAATAAAATATACGGAATTATAAAGGAAATTTGACATCAGAATCAAATAGACAATATCCGCTCCTAACAGTACCACTACCGAAAATATTTTGGCTAGTACTTCCGCCCATTTTCCTAAGAGATCTTTACAAAGGTGACTGACTTCGATATCTAATCCTGGCATACCTGAACAAAATAAAAAACAATTAAACTTTGGTTAAAGCCAACAATGATGCATACATTTATTTAATATCTTTATTTTATTGTTATTTGTGGAAAGTTACCAGACATATTTATGTTTTGTTTAAATGAAATAAGAATGTATTTGTTGTTTGTACAGGGTGTTTTTTTATATATTGACACCCCACCTCCAGGTAGATGAAAGGTGTAAATACAAAAGTAGTACAGTATTGACTAAATTTTTAGAATCCATGGTCAGAAACAAAAATTGAATTTCAGAAATGTGAAAAATTGCATGCTTTCAGCTTTTTTCAAATGGCATGCGCTATATTTGGTTCTATATTCTTGAAGAGCACAATTTCCCGATTCCAAAACTATATAGTTTGTCTATATTTGGTTGAGCCGTCTCCAACATATTTGGTTTTAAGAATTTTAAAAATACTATCAAAGAAACTAAGTACTTACAAATTCTGACTTTATATAATAAGTTATTGTTCAAGTACAAATAAGTGGATTATTGCAGAACTTATGGGTGGACCTCTGCGGGACGAGCGCAGCGAGTTCCGCAGCCATCTACTCACCAATATACTGTTGAACTGTTCAAGTAAAACATTCACCTGGAACGTGTAGTTTTAAACTAATGAGAATAACTGACATTTGAGTGAGTCAGGTTAGTATCGTAATTAAGCAACATATTGATGAATAAATGGCTGCGGAACTCGCTGCGCTCGTCCCGCAGAGGTCCACCCATAAGTTGCGCAACAAATCACTCATTTGTACTTGAATAACTAGTCACATTAGTTTGGTAAAGTAACATTACTAATTAATGTGGAAAGGCAAATTGACAAAAAGTGAATAATCATAATCTTATAAATTTTGACTTCATATAATAAGTTATTGTTTAAGTACAAATAAGTGGATTGTTGCGGAACTTATGGGTGGACCTCTGCGGGACGAGCGCAGCGAGTTCCACCTCCATCTACTTACCAATATACTGTTGAACTGTTCAAATAAGACACTCACCTGAAACGTGTAGTTTTTAAATTAATGAGAATAACTCCATTTGAGTGAATCAGGTTAATATCGTAATTAAACAACATATTGATGAATAGATGGCTGCGGAACTCGCTGCGCTCGTCCCGCAGAGGTCCACCCATAAATACCTCAACAATCCACTCGCTTGTACTTGAATAACTTGTCACATTACATCACTAGTTTGGTAAAGTAACATTACTAATTCCTGTTAAAAGGCAAATTGACAAAAAGTGAATATACTTACAAATTCTGACTTTATATACCTAATAAGTTATTGTTCAAGTACAAATAAGTGGATTGTTGCGGAACTTATGGGTGGACCTCTGCGGGACGAGCGCAGCAAGTTCCGCAGCCATCTGCTTATCAATATACTGTTGAACTGTTCAAATAAGACACTCACCTGAAACGTGTAGTTTTTAAATTAATGAGAATAACTCCATTTGAGTGAAGCAGGTTGATATCGTAATTAAACAACATATTGATGAATAGATGGCTGCGGAACTCGCTGCGCTCGTCCCGCAGAGGTCCACCCATAAGTTCCGCAACAATTCACTCATTTGTATGAACGTGAATAACCTGTTACATTATGTTACTAGTTTGGTAAAGTAACATTACTAATTCCTGTTAAAAGGCAAATTGACAAAAAGTGGATAATCTTACAAATTTTGACTTTAAATAATAAGTTATTGTTCAAGTACAGGGTGTTTTTTTATATATTGACACCCTACCTACAGCCTTCACCTTTACAAGTAGATGAAAGCTGAAAATATAAAAGTTGTACAGTATTGGCTAAATTTTTAGAATCCATAGTCAGAACCAAAAATTGAATGTCAGAAATGTGAAATGTTGCATGCTTTCAGCTTTTTTCAAATGGGATGCCCTATATTTGGTTCTATATTCTTGAAGAGCACAATTTCCTGATTCCAAAACTATATAGTTTGTCTATATTTGGTTGAGCCGTCTCCAACATATTTGGTTCTAAAAATTTTAAAAATACTATCAGAGAAACCAAGCACATACCTTAAATTTTACCTGCAGCTTTTACCTGTATAGGTAGAATGGTTCACAAAATCAGTAAATAGTAGGATAGTTATTTTTACAATTTTTGGAGTTGAATATATGAGAGACTGTTTAATCAAATATGGACAAATTATATATTTTTGGAATCGGGGCATTGTGATCTTCAATTTGAAAAAAGCTGAAAGCATGTAAAATTTCACATTTCTGACCATGGTTTCTAAAAATTCAGTCAAAACTGTACAACTTTTGTATTTTCACCTTTCTTCTAGCTGTAAAGGTAAAGGCTGTAGGTGGGGTGTCAATATATAAAAAAAAACACCCTGTACTTGTGTTATTGTCTGGTACCTACAATTCTTACCGTGTTTATCCTTCACCGTCAGTAGAAGATGACAAGTGTAAAGACAAAGAGCCGCCACCATGATGTTGATTGCAATGCCTGGAAAGAGTCCTGCCATTTGTATGCCCCAAGACATCGCCAACAATGAGGATCCCATGGTAGTGTTCCATATTGCAAATCTGTGTAAAAATTAGGTGCTATCACTAGAAACTAATGAATAATATTTGAGATGTCTCTACTTGTTCACTTAAATAGCACGAAAACAAATTCTATTTTTCGTGTAAAAGTGTAGGTAATTATAACTAAATTTTGATAATTTTCAAATTTCCCATTTTGTTTAAGATGTTTCTGCGGAGCCAATAGGGGGCAAATCCATTTTTTTTATAACTTTTCTAGAATTTTCAAAATGTTCTCTTGTCGGACTTTGTAGTAATAATTATTGGAAAACGTTAATATTCCTATATGCGCCTCCTCCCATGATGTGATTCAATCGAGTAGGTACGTCACAAAATCTTAATCACAATATTCCAATATCAATATCCGATATACACGCATTATTAATTATCCAATTAATTAAATATAATTGTTTATCATGATATAATTTTAATGTGTGTTTCATCAGATCATTACAGGGGATCCTCACCATGATTCCATTGTAAAGTGGTTTGCATCATAGTGCATCTTGGGTCATTAGTTTTAGTGGCCATCGCCTTCTTTGTTTTTGTTGTTTCACGTCGATTGTTGACTAATAACGGCTTGTGATTGGTATAGTCATCATGTGAGCTTATAATAGCCTACTGTTACCATGGGTGTATTATATTTTTGCAATATTATTAAAAAATATCCAGGTCAAACTTTTGGCCTTGATGGTCTTATCATTTCTTGCTTCCTAGTTTAACCTATATCGCATTTCCTTATGATGTTTATTATTTTATTTAAAAAAAAAAGATAAAATATATCATGATTAAGATGTCGCATATTTGATTTATAAATAGGGTCTTTGCAGATAGGAAAATAGAAATTTGTAGATAGTAGGTACTTGTGTAATTATCCAATTTTCAGATTAACTTTTTGCTTGCAGATCATACAACAAAGAAAATTGTTTGCTGGTGTATTAAAAAAAAAATCTTACATGGTCACCAAGGAACTCTGAGTTTTTTTCTCTGGTTCTCTGTAGTCCATAAACTTGTCAAAACTGGCCTCTGTGGGCAGGGGAGATGCCTTAAGCTGATCTGCTGAATTCGCTTGGATATTCATCTAAAATAATAATAAAAAAATATTTGTTACCAACCAAGTACCTAACACATGAATTTGATTGAAAAAAAATAGTTAAGTCTCTGGTTTTTATACTGTACAACCGTACAAACAAAGATAAATTGGAAAAAATATTGTGATTTCTACAATTATCGTTTAAAAGACATTAGGTAATCCTTAAAAATTGTTTTTATCTAAATTTTTTCCCATTTCTCAACTGGTGTTTATTATTATGAAAAATCCAAGATAACAATTTGGAACATTACGAAAATTTCAATGGTTAGAGTACGTCATAAAGTAATGTTGAGGAAAAAACATGTAAGAATATGGTACAAGTATCCAAAAGTACATAGGTATTTTATAAAATTAATAATCTTAATAATTTTATCGGTTTTAGGTAAAGTAACATATCAGCTCTTGTACTATTATATGACTTTTAGTGTCAAATATTTGTATGAATGATGGTAGAAATAATCCAGGAGATAATTATGAATTATTTTTGTCCCAGATATTTTTGGTGAAGATGGTACCTAATAAACTATGATGACGTACAATCCTTGATGACCGTTTCCCAAAACTGAAAAAGGTGGAAATATAATGTCCACAAAGAGCTGGGTAAACATGGAGAGAATCCAGGGTGTAGGCACAATCAACTATATTTAAAACATAACACCCGGTATATATTTTCAATTAATAGAAAATGATGATGGCTCGATACTTTTCGAAAAATAACCTAAAACTATTTTAAGTCTGGTATAGAGTGTTATGAATGAATGAAAGTATTTTCCAAAATTCAGCTACTAATACTACCAATAGAAAATGACTTACCTTTCCATTCTGATTCATAAACTTGGCCAATTCAGTCAAGCTATTGTCTCTAAACAGAAACCTGTTGTTGTTGGCCACATACACTTCCACAGCTGGAGGTTCGAAAGTTCCAAAAATATAGTGACTAAAAAATTTAAAAAAAGTAAGCACAAGAAAACTAATTGTTGCTACAAAGCTATGTAGAATAGACAATGATTATTGAAAAATTCTAGTTTTATAGGCCTATATTATAAACTCAAAACCATATGCCAATATAACAATAAATAAAAGAACACTAGGTCTAAGAGAATTTGTTTTTTAAAGAATTTGTTTGTTTTAATTGATGGGATTAGCAATACTTTCTGATGGAAATGTTAATAATAAATATAATATGTGAGACACTAGTTTTACAGATATAATTATTATTGTTATGTACCGTTCGTATTTATCTTTTTGAGCCAACACCGATACGGATATAGGACTGGATTTCGGGAAAGCAGGGCTGATTGTGGGATCTTCTTCCTCCGAGTCGCTGGTAAATCCAGGAGGTCCACCAATGGGCCTAAAATTATAACTATTGTAATCAATTTCTTACCTAATAGTTTATTTCAAAAAAGCTTTGATATTTACAAAAACTACATGTGAAGTAAAACAATTAACTTATACCAATGGTTGAAGTGTAACTATAATATTTTGCAATTGTGCGCCAATTAATACACGAAAAAATAAATAAATTGAGAGTAATTATCGAACTATGGATTTAAATTGATTCGGTTAACCATCTGGATATATCTGGTAGACATGTTGTCACCATTTGGAGTTCTTGCGTAGGATATTTGAATGGTTTTATTTTATTCGTCGTGAAATTCTGTATCTATTTTAACTTACCCAAAGCTGCTAGCAGAACTACAGCTTGTACTAAGCAGAGGCTGGGATTCATCGGAATCTGAATCCCTATTCGGTCTCGCAAAGATGTTCTTCAAATTTCTCACGGGGTCTGCAAAAATGTATAGGTACTTCTTAAAGAATATTGGTAATAGGTATAATAACATATTTTGTTTAGACAGCGAAGTACTAAAAAATGGAATAGAGTTAGATATTGGCAGCAAAGGTATATCTGTGGTATTATTTTGGTTATTATTTAGGTATGTCATGGATGGACCACACTATGACGGTAAAATAACGTTTATCTAATATTTACGTTTAAAGAATTTCCAATGTTAACGTTTAAATGCTGTTCAATTTCGACCTCATTCTTATACCGACATTTGACGTGTTAATATGAATGAACCAAACGTATAAAAAGCTAGTGGGTACCTAATAATTTGTAAACGCAAAAGTACGTGAATTCTCATTGTTTCTCAATGAAAGGGCTGGAATCGTGAAACTCACCGACTGGCATATTTGGTGCACCGGAAAAAGAGAAACAATACGAAGTCTTCGGTAAATCCCATAAAGCTTTAATTTTTCCTTAAATTTTTCTCTCATTTCTCAAAACTCTGCTCTGGCTCTGAGGTATTAACTAATGAAGAAGTGCGACTCACATCGATGGTTATTTCTCATTATATCCAGCTCTGATTTTTGATATCCAAGCTGTGCTACCTCATGCAGTCAACTTTCCTGTAAACAACGATAACCCACAACCCACCCCAATTTAACTTTACGTACGAGTCGATGCTGCACACAGACTGGTCACCCATTACTGAAATTTCAAATGTGTCAAATGCGTGTGAAGCTTTCTATGATATCCTCCATAATATTTTTTCTGCTTGTATACCCCCTAAATTGCCCAGGCGAAGGCGTTTTCCCTCCTGGTTTAGCAGGGAACTGATTGATAACATTCTGAAGAAGGGAAGGGTGCGTCGTCATCTTCAAACCCACCAGTCCGCTTATTATTATAATTAGTTCAAGTCACTGCGTAGCCTCATAAAAACTCAATCTCAGCAAGCTTATAAGGATTTTATCAGGAGTGCCGAATTAAATATCAACAGCAACCCCTCCAATTTTTAGTCTTTCATTCAGAGTAAAAAGACACAGTCACGCATACCCGCCGCTATGCATTTTGCTGACCGTACCCTCAATAAACCCCAGCTAATCGTTTCCGCCTTTGCTGACTTCTTTAAGAGTGTCTATAAGAACTCGGAGCAAGCTGAACATATCAGAGCTTTCGAAAACTCCGAGCTGGTTGAAATCCCAACGGTCACTATTGAGGACGTCACCGGTGCATGCAAGATTTTAAAGGACAAAGCTACATCTGGTCCAGACAGCATTCCTAGCTTCTTTGTAAGGGATTGCTCTGTTGTTCTAAGTAGTCCCCTCTGTCACATTTTTAATCTGATTTTAAGAAACGGCGTATTTACAGATGTCTGGAAGATTGCCAAAGTTTGCCCCATTCTAAAAAAGGACGACCCATCTCAAGTTGAAAATTATCGAGGTCTATAAACCTAGCAGTCCCAAGGTGGAAAAAAACTTCGGGAACTATATAATAATTAGGTGCTTTTTAGGTGCTAATTAGGGCCTCTAATTAAAAATTAGGTGCCCCTCTAGTTTCTGAGAAAATCAAAAAAACTAAGGGATTGCTAGGTTTATGAAAGCTAGCAGTCCCCTATAGTAAAAAATATTTTTCAAATTTTTTCTTTGTATCAGAATTAGGTGCTTTTTAGGTGCTCCTAAATAGTCGAAGAAAAAATAGAATTGATTAATTATTAACTGAGTTACAGATTTTTTTTTAATTACTAGGGGACTGCTGGCTTTACGTTTACATGTTGATGTGTCAGAATGACGGAAAAACTTCGAGATCTATATAATAATTAGGTGCTTTTCAGGTGCTAATTAGGGCCTCTAATTAAAAATTAGGTGCTGCTCTAGTTTTTGAGAAAATCAAAAAAACCTAAGGGATTGCTAGGTTTATGAAAGCTAGTAGTCCCCTATAGTGAAAAATATTTTTCCAAAATTTTCTTTTGTATCAGAATTAGGTGCTTTTTAGGTGCTCCTAAATAATCGAAGAAAAAATAGAATTGATTAATTATTAATTGAGTTACAGATTTTTTTTTTAATTATTAGGGGAATACTAGCTTTCATAAACCTAGCAACCCCTTAGTTTTTTTTTGATTTTCTCAAAAATTAGAGGAACACCTAATTTTTAATTAGAGGCCCTAATTAGCACCTAAAAAGCACCTAATTATTATATAAATCTCGAAATTTTTGGAAAAATATTTTTGACTATAGGGGACTACTAGCTTTTATAAACCTAGCAATCCCTTAGTTTTTTTTTGATTTTCTCAAAAACTAGAGGAGCACCTAATTTTTATTTAGAGGCCTGTAACGCTTCAGCTAAAGTAAAATGCTCTGACGGACTTTCAGACCCAATTGGAATAAGTGAAGGCGTACTTCAGGGAGAACCACTATCCCCTTTTCTGTTTTTACTGTTTCTCTCTGATATCATACAGTTTTTTGAGGGTAAGGGAGCTAGGCTAATTAATATTGATGGTGTTAATGAACTTTTTATGCTGCTCTATTGTGACGACCTAATTGTTTTCGGGCTTTCAGAACGAGATCTACAATGCAACCTGAATATCCTGGCTGAGTATGTACAGGAGAACAATTTGGCAGTCAATGTTGCAAAGTCCAAAATAATGTGTTTCAGGAGAGGGGGTTTTCAAGCTAGTTACACCAAAAGATTTATTTTCAAAAACGAACCCCTTGAAATTGTCAATGAATATACATACCTTGGAGTCACTTTCACTGCATCTTCTAAATTTCGAATTATGGCAGACAAATCTGTCTCAAAATGCAAACAGGCCATTGGCGCGGCAGTTTCACATCTATCAAAGTCTAAATCATTTTCAATTACTTCAAGACTTAAAATATTTGAAACGTGTGTACTTAACATAATGTCTGGGTCCGCACCCATCTGGGCCCTAAGATATCTAGACGTCCTTGAACAGATACAAACATCATTTCTCAAAAAATCTCTTTCCCTGCCTAAAAGCACCTTTTCAGCCATACTTCGCCTGGAGTTTGGCGTTTCTCCTATAGCGACAACTATACTTAAATGGACTCTCAACTTTCTCAAAAGGTTGCTCTCTATGGATGAAAGCAGATTACCCTTAATTTGCCTTAAAAGGCAACTACAGCTTATCGACTCGCCGCTAGCATATAACTGGCTATCGCAACTCAAATTGGTACTTACTGGAACAGGTTTTGATAATATTTTGATTAATAATTTAACACCAAGATTTGTAACTAGACGAAAAATCGATCAAATAATTGACAAATACCGAGAGCTATCCTTTCGGAAAGATATTGCTTTGGCTAGAGATTCCAGTTATATGACCTTTTATCCATTTTTATCAATAACAAAAAATCCAGCTACTTATTTAACATTTAGAGTACAAACATTTGTTTTGAAACTCATAGCGCAAACAAGACTTGCCAACAAATACCTATGTGCTTTTACCTTTAATTCTATCCTCTATAAACTTGACCCCCGCATAATATGTACAGTTTGTAACACCTCTGAACTAGAGACATTAGACCACATTCTTTTCAGATGTCCAATGTATAGAGAAGTCAGACCATTAACATGGTCGAGCCCTGACTCATTTCTCAATTTACTTGAAACCTTAGCTCCAGTATCTGCCAAAACATTTGCTTCCACCATAATGTCATTCCTCAGGCTTCGATCCTTTTTGATATCGCAGGATTAGAATTTGTTAGAAATATCAACTTTCTCTCTTTTTTTTGTTGTATAGACCCCTTCCATAGGTACTTTTATCAGGCACCAAAATGTGAACTCTTCTGGTTTTTAGTTTATACATAGAAATACAAGTAACTTTATCTTTCGCTTTGTAATTAGATTAAGATTATTTAGATTATTATTATTTTTTTGTTCGTTTCTAATAACAAATACGTATCCATATTCAAAACAAATTATATTCCCTCCTTTATAAGTTTATTTTTGCTTTTGTAATTCAAACCACTACGTTTACTAGATTTAGAGCACTCCTTGTTATAGAAAATACTTTCTGGAAACAATAAAAATTGAATTGAATTGAATTGAATTGAATTATTTAGAGGCCCTAATTAGTACCTGAAAAGCACCTAATTATTATATAGATCTCGAAGTTTTTTCGTCATTCTGACACACCAACATGTAAACGTAAAGCCAGCAGTCCCCTAATAATTAAAAAAAAATCTGTAACTCAGTTAATAATTAATCAAGTCTATTTTTTCTTCGACTATTTAGGAGCACCTAAAAAGCACCTAATTCTGATACAAAAGAAAATTTTTGAGAAATATTTTTCACTATAGGGGACTACTAGCTTTCATAAACCTAGCAATCCCTTAGTTTTTTTTGATTTTCTCAAAAACAAGAGGAGCACCTAATTTTTAATTAAAGGCCCTAATTAGCACCTAAAAAGCACCTAATTATTATTTAGATCCCGAAGTTTTTTTGCCATTCTGACACACCAACAAGTAAACGTAAAGCCAGCAGTCCCTTAAAATAATTTAAAAAAAATCTGTAACTCAGTTAATTTTTAATTAGAGGCCCTAATTAGCACCTAAAAAGCACCTAATTATTATATAGTATTTTTCTGCTCTCAGTGCTACTATCCATAAAACTGCTGTTTCGTTTATCATGTTTTGTAATCTTTCAAGTTCTTTAGGGGCTATTTTCAAGTTACGTTTGCTTATTATTATACGTTTAAACTGATACCTTTATAGAACTATTTTTTGATCTTATACACTAGGTTTGTTCCAACTTGTCAAAAACCGTCCCATGAACGGTTTTGAAACCAGTCTATATACAAATTTTTGGCTTTGCCCAGAATCGTGACGGTACATTGAACGGTTTCTTGATGTGTTGGAACAAAGCTACTGACAAAACGAAAATGTAACCACTTCAGTAATTCACTATAATTTCATTATTGCATTGAAGAGAAAAATGTCTGTTTTCCCAGCAGACACGCAGTTCCATATGAAACCAAAAAGGTTGTTCTATTACAGTTTGTTCACTTATTCGATAAAAAATTACAAGTTTGTAAATTTGCTATCACATAAGCTTTGTTCCAACACAGCACAATGTACTGTCACGATTCTGCTCAAAGCTCAAAATTTGTACATAGAATAACGATGGAATCCGAAATTCGTATGCAGAGTGGTTTCCAAACCTATCATGGGAGTGTTTTTGACGTATTGGAACAGACCTAGATTCAAATAAAAACATCGTTAAAAACTACGAACATATTCAGAGATGGCTCCTTTTTCGTTTTGAGTGTATGTTTACAACATTTTCTGAAAATATTTTCATGTGCGTTTTTTTTCCTAAAACGACCCTAGGGGTCTGTTATGGGACATCCTCTACCAAATCCAAATCAGGTTCGACATCTAACAAGACTACATGTGTCTTATTCCAACTAAATCCATTTGTGGTATCGTCGGCTAGTCTGAGGCCTATAGCTTGGTCAAATGACCTGCTCTAAGTTAAAATTGTTTTTCAGGAATCAATTCCAGGTCATCAAATTCCTGTAGGATCCTGGAATTCATAGCTCTCTCTGACAGCTTGCCCAAAAAGACATGGGACCATAGTTCTGTTAGGACTTCTTAGTTTCTAGTGTATTTGAGAGTGTGAAAAATTCCTCCCTATTCGTTCGGCTTTCAAGACCATATATTTGATATATATACTGGGGGCAAAATTCAATTCACAGAATGAACGGTCCTTTTTGATACTCATAGTGCAAAATTGATTAAGCATTTTGTGTCGAGTTTATTTAGCTATATTCCTTATGATTGAAAGAATATTCATTTCCCTGGATCATTGTTATTTGGTTCCTTAATGGGTTATGGGGAGGAGGAAAGAAACTACTTATCTTACGGCGACATTTCGTATACTCATGTATACTTTTTCAATGAATATATACGAAAGGACGCCGTAAGATAAGTGGTTTCTTTCCTTCTTCCCATAACCCATTAACGAACCAAATAACTATATTCCTTAAGTTTTCAAAAAATTTGGGTGATGAGTAGAGAAACATGTATAGAAAAGTTGTAGGCGGATTTTAGGGATTTGGTATATTTGACACCAAAATGAATAAGGAAAGTTGCATTAGGAAAAATGAGTTTGTGGTCAAATGGACACATGAAAGTAGCATTTCTCCATGCTCAAAGAACATGAGTATGAAATTGTTACTTTTCAAAAGAGCCATACTGCATACTTTAATAGAAAGACTTTTTTTTTCTATACCATCATGTAAGAAAAGTAACATTTTTATAAATAAATTATGTTGTTAAAAAAATAATGTGTAGGTATATTGAAATTAGGCTCGAGATCCTCATGCAAATTTAAAGAGATTGCCCTAACTCTCCTGTGAAAATCTAAAAAAATAACAATAATTGGTTTTCAACTTACCCCTCATGTTGAATCTTTCCTTTCAATAACTTTTAGCAATTTCTATTCCGTCAAACTACGTATACTTTCGATTTTAACAACTTTAACTTCGTGCACATACACCAAAGTCATTATCACTTAAAAACGGTACTTCGTGAAACTTCCGAAAGGCAAAGATTAATATTCTATCGTCTGCTACCGCAGACAGCTCTTGTAGATATCTGAATGAGTAAAACTAACCAATTTTCCATAAATACCGCACTATAGTAAATTTATTAATTACGAATTGATTAGGAAGCGTCAACAAACTGATAAGGAGAAGAGCTTTCTTAAAATGTTGTTATTTATAATGGATGTTGCCAAGTTTTTGAAAGTAGCACACAGGCGGCAAAATTTAGAGCAATTTTAATGGTTAAGATGCAAATATTTATATTTAGATATGGCGATGAGAGGTCACATAGATAATTTGGGTATTTATCATTTAGGAAACTAATTATGGAATAAATTCGTCTCACTATGTTAATAATAGCTCTGTTCCAACCGACATATGGGAACCAGTCGATCAATTAATTTGTCAATTAGGATAAACGTTCAACTTATTGAAAAATAGATGGGTAACTGGAAATTACCGTCCTAGAACGGTTCTCGGTTGGAACAGAGCTTATTGGAAATGTTGACATTGGAAGACAATATAGATAGATTCATTTTGTGGATTATCCAAGATAAATGACGATGACTAGTCCCTTTAGTAATAGAACAAAAGTAAACATTTAATGATGTAGTTTAAACTACAACTATTTTGTGTACTTTTACCTCAGATTAGGTTATTAAATTTTATCGATAGTACCTATGCTCAGCTAAAAAATGTATATCAAAACTTCTACACCTGGATTCTGTATGACTTGACACCTCTAACTACTTTACAATTTGCTTTTATCAATATTGTGAACCCTCATTACCCCTTGCTAAAACTTCCATAAAACAAAATAACAACATAATTGAAAAAATTCCAAGATTAATTGCTTATGGGTGGATATTGCCCATATATTATCGCTAAGATTAGTTATTCAAATAGAAAATTATTGGTTAATTTTAGTTTTAACCTATGATCACCTCTCATCGCCCAAACAAATATTTTTACAATGTTTATCGTTTTTCATACGAAATTACTGCAATATCAATATCATATAGGCGCCACCTAAGATCAATAGAAATATTATTTACATTGGATCGTGAATGATAGTTATTGATATCATTAGGCCAAGAAGGGAGTTTTTTTGTGCTTATTGCCCCTAATATTGTTTCTTGCACACTTACAGTTTCTAGTGTTATTTCCATTCCAAGAAAAATTATATTGAACTTTTCACTCTGTCGTGATATCAGTAGGAATCTCATTAATTTACTCTTTTCATGTTTAGTACCTACTTATTGTATCATTATTATTATTATTATTATTATTTTGTTTCATATGTGTATTCAACAAGTGCTCTGTTGAATTGATAATGAAATTCGGAACTAGAGGTTAAAGCTACCGAATTCATAGTTATAATAGTTAAAAATTCTTGTGTCTCTACCTTGTTTTCTTCAATTATGTCAGATCATTCAAAAGTTGTGACAATAATGATTATTAAGTTTTCTTTTGGTGGTAACTTACTCTTCCACTTAGTGTTGGACAATTTTCTCTCATATGTGATGTTATCATAATTCATAATTTTGATACATAAGAAGTTGATTTCTTCAACACTTATATAATTATTCTCCTAATTTTCTCTTTGATGACAATGAAATCAGTTATAGTTTGGATAAGAAACTCTGAAAATCGTATTTGCTTTGTTTATTTTGGTACATGGCAACTGTAATAGAGTTGATATTAACAGATAAACCTCGTTTATCGTTTATGTTGCATTTTTCAAATTAAATTCAATATACAGCATAGTTGATCTTTTGGCCCTAAAATATACTTCATACGTCTTTCAAAATAAATATTATTGGCAATATCAATAGGTCAAGGAATCTCGATTTTTATTTCTTATATCTGACCAGGATGATGAAAATGATTATTAGTTTGCGTCAGTGATTTTCTAATTTTAGGTCGCATCAGATTATTATTATAATGCCAATAACTACCCTATACTTTCAGGTATTCTATTTCATACTGTACCGTGTAAAACACACTTTTGCGTAGGTACTTTTACAGTATTGAGTCCGGTAAAGTTTTATGTAACTTGAAAAAAGGATCAGGATGTTTGACCAATACTGTCTTGGCTAATGTAATTCTTCGTTTTACTTCTGCATTCCTGATTTGAATCACAAGACTTGATCCACCTCCTAATGCTGAATATAAGTATCTTGCAAATCCTCCCATATATCTCTGTCGTGTGCTGTTCTCATTTCCACTAACTCCCAGATATTCATCTTATTTGTGGTTTTCCTTTTCCTTCCTCTGTTCACGGAGTTTCTATTTTCAGTTCACTTGTTCACCTATCAGCACTTGTTTGTTGCGTCACATACCTCTTCTACTTTGGTTCGGTTCTAGGTGTGAAGTTAGCTGTCAGATTTTGCGTTAAAAGGGTAAAACAAACCAAAGGAAAAGTTTGCTGCTTGCATGCGTTTAGAATAGTAATGAAGGAAACAATTTACACTTCATATGGTCTTCATGCACAATTCAATTTATTGAAAACTCAGTAGTCAGTACTACTTATTCAGACACAGAAGTTAGTTAAATCGTTATAGAACAGCGATGACGAGGATTTTATTTCATCCTCGTCGTTACTGTAACTTCTGTGTCTGAACCTGACAAGTAGTACCGATGATGGCGAAAGCCGAAAGCGCATAAGCACATAAATTGAATTGTTCCAATTCTTTCCTTTCTTACTATTAAAGATTGACGCTGATGGGGTATATTTTTGTATTTGAGAATCTAATTTTTCAAAGGCTGCTCATGCTTAGCTGATTTTAACGTGATGCTTTCGGTGCTTGATTTTCTTCCTTAATTTTGTTGTGGGTCCGAAATAGATAAACTGATCAACTCTCATCAATCCAAGATCGTTACTAATTTTTCTTGTTTTATTTAGATTTATTTTCTTCAGTTTTTCCAGATTGAGGTCCGTTTTAGCAGTTGGTATGGGTTCAGTTCATTGGAGTCATTTGTTAACTTCCGCATCCAATTTTTGTCACGATTTCGAGATTTTCCCTTCCATCAAAGATTTACTGAACAATAGGTACTTGAAGAATCTCTTCTATCAAGTATCTGCCTATTTTCGACATTTCGCATGATTTTTGGTTCGTAATTCATTTCGAAGCATAGCAAATTTGTAAGTTTTGTTGTTTTGGAATTATTTAATAATTTAAGACGTACCTAAGCTCTGTATTTCTTAGATTCTTTCACAATTTAGGTGTATAATAACAGAGAAAGGCTCAAATATTCCTAAATAAATTTCATTTCATTATAGAATGTGTCTTGTTTAGTACCCACATAACAGTAAAAGAACATTCATATTCTCAGAATATTCCCTCAAAGTGCTTTCTGGAATGTTTTTTTAGGAATGTTTAATGAATATTCTAAGATTGTTTCGATTAAAATATTCATTTTTGAACGTTTTATTTATGTACTAGGAATGTTGCTTCTATGCACCTACCTGAAAGATTGTGCTAAGAACCTACTTTATATAATATTATTTGAATATTGTCATACGAACAATATTATAATGTACCCTAATAAATGTTCTTTCGGCTAATATCCCTATCAAGTATTAAGAATATACCTACCAAGTTGTGCTGAGAAGTTTATGTAGATAGGTAACCATACAGAATATTTTCATATTGTTCACCTAATTATCTAAAGTACCTACTCAAAAATCTTAATTGAACAATTAAACAATAATGCTCTATCTAGAACCTACTAAGAATATTATAGGTATATTCTTTTTCTTTTGCTTTGTAGGACTTCCAAGAGAGGGAGCCACGCGCTATTAAAGATCTACATCTTGCCTCGCGTTTGAATCACCTTGGAACCTGTTCCTCTCAGTCGGCGTGCTTCGACGAGAGCATAATAAACTCGAAACCGGGGCTTTGGTTAAATACTTGTGTTTTCCAGAGAAGTTTCCCAAGAACTCTTTCAGTGCCTTTAATATAAAAGGGCTGAAAGGAGCATTATTTGGAAGCGAAAATTAACATTCCAAGTATATTCTAAGAATATCTCAAGCATATTGGTATAATATTCTTTTGAGAACATAACTATAATGTCATAGAAACATTCTTTGAATGCGAAAATATACATTTCGAGCATATTTTCAAAATCAAAAAGGAATATTCTTTTTCTCCGATTGACAAGAAATGTCAGCATTTTTGACCGGTTGACAGGTCGCAAAACCCAATATTCTAGTATTTTAATTATGTTTCAGTAGTTGCTAAGGAATCAATGAATAACAATACCGGAAACACTTTTCCGGCCTAGGCCGGGAAAGTGATTCTCGTACTGCTGAACAATTGGAACAAAAAGACAAACATTTAACAGATATTTAACCGATCGCAGAAAAAATAGTATGTGTATTTCGGTAGAAAAACACATTCTCGACCTTCGGTGTTTGCCGGCCTCGGCTACGCCTCGCCCGTCAACTTACACCGTCGGCCGAGAATGTGTCACTTTTCCACCTAAATACACAATATACTATTTCAGGATGTACTGAGAATCTCATAGGTATATTCTAGGAATATCCTAATGGATTTCCCAGGAAGTTCTTGGGTATTGCAAACAGTATTTCTACAATCCTTTCTAAGAACATTCTCAGGACATTCGCAATGGTTTTGGCGAACATTCTAGGCACATTCCTCCTAAAAAAAGAACATTCTTAATACATTCTAAGGATGCAATTTTGTTATGTGGGTAGTGATTATCACTTTATTACCTTAATGAACCACTTTCTCAAGAATTTTTTAAAGATCATCTATAAAAAAATATACGCAAAGTGCGAATCATTCACAGGCGAATCCCAATTTGGTTTTCGTAGCGGTTTTGGCACAAGAGAGGTCCTGTGCCCTGTTTAACCAAGGATAATACACACTACTATTACAGGATAGCTTATCCTATTCCTCATAAGTCCTGTGTAGATCAAATCTCAAACTCCCCACTACGTCAAAGAACTAGCGATGACGAAGGCAACGTGTCGTTTCTTGCCTTGACGTAGAGTGTTTGCACCACAGGTTATGATTCCGCGGGATTTTGCTTTATGTATACTTGGTTTAAGTACATCAATTAACATTCTGGCTTTTTTAGATCTCATTTGGATCTTCCTCTTTGCCTATTATATGATAATCAAAATTAAATAATATTTTCG